AGTTATTTATAAACCCTTATTAGTTATCAAGATGCACCAGCTCCGTTTTTTTGTATATTGATTATTCAGTCATAAATCCATCCCTGATATCGATTACAGGAAAGAGGGTTAAAGAGCAGAATGGTCAAAGCTAGGAAATTTCTACCCTTAACAAATCAATTTCACCATAAACTGAAAGGCAGAATATTTCAATACAACAGATTGCCTTGCCTTGCCTTGAGGAAGGCATGATCGAGATAGCAATATTTTGTCTTTCTTTGTGCGATAGTCCCACAAGTCGTACGAGACATTGAAGAACAACACAGCTGGATTCATGGGCAACAGCCTTTTTCCACCACTCGAGCTAGTCTGAGGTCACACCAAGTAACATCTAGATTCAACCGTAGGAGATATAACCTTCAATTAATTCTGCAATCAATGGCTTCTTAGCTTCACAGCGCCACCCAACCACAAACGCGTACCTGCCATGGGGTTTCAGACAATCCTGCAAACATCAGCATTTGTCTCGGATTTAATCGAAGTGTACAAGGTCAACTTGGCTACAGGTCGAACCGATTTCTATTCTATGCATACCCATAGGCAGACTGAGCTCATTTCCCTAATATCTATTCCTTCACTAAAGCAAACAGCTGATAAGTAAAGATTATAGAAATTGCACAGATCATATTCTTTTAAGAAAAAGAGAACACAATTTCTCACTTCTGGGCATTTGACTTACGCTGTTGGGTAAAATTTTACCAATGCATCTGAAAAGAACACCCATTCATCATCCTAACACGACTGATCTGATGATTATTATAACTTTGTGCTGCAAAAGCAAACAAGCAAATTCTTTTGGAACAATTGCCTTTTGAATTCGATACAGTCAACAACAACACTTTTATCTAATACAGATTCTTCTTTTTCGATGGTTCATCTTGGATATATCTTACGAGAGTTAAAACTGAAAGTTTATAACTACCCAATACCTTCTCAAGTCTTGTGCTTGATTGGTAGCATTGTCAAGTGTTCTTTCTGCCTTCATAAAGTTTGATTCCTGCAACAGAAACGAAAATGCTATATAAACAGTCGAATTATCCACTGTAAAATAATTCACAACATTTGCACAATATTTTCATTTCCACAACTTAAGGAAGCCTAAATTTCACTCGCAGTTATTAAGTAGATTCCAGGGAAAACCCCACAAAACGTAGTTTAATTTCTTTTTCTTCATTCCATCTTCAAATGTATGCTGCCACTGCATTAATCTCTAGCACTGTACGTATACAGGTAACATGCATGAAGCACATGCAATTGTCCAGACATTTTCTAGACATCGGGTTATAAATACCACAAGGTATGTCTGATGCTGCCAAATCCCAGCTATGACAAGTGGTCTAGATGTGAGAAAACAATAGGCAAACCCGATATGAGAATATGTGTTAGCTAATGTCCTTGATATCACTGTTCAGACAAAGAATTCCAATCCAGATTTGGATAATCAGACACACAAATTTTTGGAAACAAAAGGAACCCAACAGGTGTACAAGTCTCCCTTACTTTGCTCATAAAAAGAAAACATTTCTAAGCAGGCCTTATCCCTGAGTGTCAAGCAATCACATAAGGTTAATGTTTGTCTGTACTGGAAGAGTAGGGACTTTATAATCCGTGAGTTCTTTGAGCCGACATAGTGATGCAGTTCTTAATGAATGTCAAGGTCATAACAAAGCTCTCAAAATTTTCTCCTATAAAATGATTTTCTAGAAAATGCACTAGTCATATAATGAAGAAATTAGAAGCTCAACATGTCTAAGCAGCCTTAGAGGAGGATCCCTTTTCCCATTTTCTCCGTTCTCCTAAACCTTCTAATTCCTTACGAAACCTACATTTAGAGGCCAATCACTATTTAAATGTAGTTTACCGTCGAAAACAAGCATGGAATATTCCCTTGTATATTAAATTGATATTAGTTGAAGTAATTGCCTAAAAAAGGTACTTTAGAAGAGCCAAAGAGGGATCAAGTACTTGCAATGTAAGTAAAGCAATAGTTTCAGACTCATAATATTATAATCCGATTCTAGACAAGATTCAAATTGATATATGCTAATAAGTATCTTATCCAAAAGATTTAGAATGTACTCCACCAAAGTAATATTATATATAAACCCATCTTTAATTGCCAAAAAGAAAAGAAGAAGAAAGTGGTACAAATATTTTAATTGAAAGTGCAGCAATTCATTTGCAAGAATTCAGGCCATACAGCATGCAAACATTATGTACCTTCACGGACAATAATGGATTTGGTCACGTCTTCATACATTATTAAGTTTCAACTATTGTGAACATGAGAAACATTGTGAGGAATAGGACCAATATAGACCATCCATCCCAGCCAAAACTTTGTGTTCTCTTGCTTAAGGTTTAAGTAAATAAGAACCGCACAACCTAATAGCTAAAGGCCTTGGATCTCCAGACCATAACTTGTTTTTCACAGTAGTTTTTCCTCTGTGCTTTTCCCTATTTCCATAATTGGCATCAATCAATGTCTAATAAGAAATTTGCCTAAACTCGGCTACATCCACTCCAGGGTGTTTGACTTCATCATAAGGGCGGTATCAACAAATTATATGATTAAATGCAAATAGGGAATACTTCAGGACAAAGTCACCTATTAAATTATTGTACCTTCAGAATAAGTCACAAGAAGATGGTCCAAAACTCGAATTATAGCTCCACATATACACTTCCATCTTTAACACTCTTGCGCGGCAACATTCTGCATCGAACGAATTAATCATAGATTCATGTGATTAATCTCTTTAAGAGAGTTCAAAAGTTTGAATAACTCTTACGAATTTGCGTTTCTAGAATTGAAAATTGCAAGAGAATGTATCAATAACTGCAATGTCTCCCTTTTAATTTTTCCTTTCCATGCAACAAAATCAATTTGATGCATCACTGTCAAAATGTAAAGAGCTCTCTTAAAACACTAAAGGGGGGGGGGGGGGGGGGGGAAGCTGCCCATTCCTAATGCTGTCCACGTACAAAACAGAAAGTATAGCACCTATCATTGATATTGCCAATAGATCATCAATTCATTTTGCACCAACTGTTTCTGTACATCAAAAAAGAGCTGCATTCACACTGCCATATTGCCCCAAAATAGATTCCAGTAAGGACGACAAAAGGTGCATGGTTTTGTAAGAATTAAAAGCTGGTCTAGCTGGATATGCAGATAAGCTGACATTGAGGATCCCACGATTTTGACCAAACATAAAGTCCCATTGTTTTATAATTGGAGGGTGAAAAATACAAAATAACCTTCATCCCACTAGGCACAAAAGCTGTTAAAGCAAAGAAATCGACTCAAATAAAGCAGCCCATATATCTAGCTTGGTTATTCATAGGGAAATGAGTAAACTGGTATCCTTGTTTATTATAAAGAAATGAATAAAGGCTCGGGTCAATGGATGTAAACATTGTTCAGGAATATCAAAGTTTACCTTCTCCTTCTCCCTCTCGAACTTCATACGCACAAACACGTACACACCGACAAACATATAATCCAAAACCACTATCTATTCTTCATGTATTAATTAACATTACTCTCTAAGCCACTCAGAAGAATAAATTATAAGCCCTAACTACGGTAACATAGTTGCACCTCTTCATCCTAGTCCAAGAATTCAATCACTGAAACTCTCAAATAACCTTTAGCACAAATAGTCCATTACAATAGAAAAACCTCCCAAGCTTTTGCCACCACTATAACTAGGAAATCTTTGATCCAGTAAAAATGCATAGCATTGTTAGAGAGGAGGGCCACATCAAGACAAATTTCATTGTCCCCCCTACCCCTAAAAAATTATGAATGCAAAAAAAAAAAAATTGCTTTTCAATGGTTTTCTTACTTGTTTTGAAGTCCTTGAACCAAATTTGAGGAGGTCATGATACCCCGTAGCACCAAACTATACTTTGATCGAACTACTAAATGAAGGCAGATAATTCATCCAAAGGAGCTGCACTACCAAACCAAATATTATTAAAACAACAATGAAAAATAGATCTGCATGGCATTGGCTAGTAAAATGATGGTTGGAGCAAATGCAGTGTAGTAAAACAAAATAAATGCAGAAAATTTCAACAATCGGGTGTTTGGTAACGCAAACAGATATAGTTGGGAGAAAATTCAAGGCTTCAGGCTTCAGCTACCATCAATAATCTTTTTTCTTGAGAACAAAAGGTAATAAAACGAAAGAATAACGGAAAGGCTGAAAGAAAAGAGATAGAAAATAGGCAAATTATATCATAATTTCCAGGGAGGAGATAAAAGGGGATTATTAAAGAGAAAAATAATTAGACTAGCTTAGGAAGTGGATTACATGGGCAAGGTTTTGCCAATGGTATATAAACCCTGGAAAAAAAAACTGCATATGGTTAAATTGATACAATTGATCATGTAAGACGACACTGCAATCCATTTAATTCAAGCACAATATACTATAATCGATTAATATATTAATTAAAAACCTTCGAATCAGAACTAAGTTTAAACATATTGCTGTTCTACGATCTCCTGCAATTTATTTATAAATTACAATTAGGATATGACCAGTGTATAATATCTTCTGAAACGTGCGCACAAGGCGGAGAAACATTCTCTTGATTAAGCCAGTTATGTATGAACTAACCAAATCTTTCAAAAATAATATATGAACAATCCAAGGCTATTTTATCTACAGAATTCAAGCTTCAAAGAGCTACATTGAAATAAACCAATCTTTCTTCTTCTTTTTTTTAAAAAATTGTTTATAAAGACAAAAAAATAGTTAAACAAATATCACTAACAGATTATGCTGATGCCTACATGATCTTGTATGGACCAAAACCTTTTGCTTTCATCAATTAATTAAATGTGACTGGCTGTATATCTTATCATTATTAGAAAAATTCTTCTACTTTCCCTATATGAAGACAAACATTATAATTAAAGAGCCTTCACTATCATATATTTGTAAAGAGCTTAACCTCCTCTTTTCGACATTGTCAGGGAAGGATTTGAAACCTGAGAATCGGATCGATTGATTCAAAACATCGATGCACCAAATTACTATACCATTCAAAAACTATTGCATGGATAAAAAGCTCTACCTTTATCTACAGGTAAACACAAAGTAGTCAACATATCTCATCAGAATTTAACAAAAAAAATACAAAGAAGCAGAATAGAGAATACAATTTCATCAATTTCATGCTGTTTAAATCAAATAATTACATAGCATCCTTAATGAATGTATAATATTGCATGTGTAATCAAGAACAACATATCTGTCTAGCACCAACAAGAGTCAATTAAACTATTTAAAAAAAAAAGAATAATTACTGTCTCCATTAGAACTATTGAGAAAACAACACTTACCTTGAAATCAAGGTAAGATGTCAAATACCAATCAGTTGCATGAAATGATCAACTCTAAACCAGATGATTAACTTAACCACATGGGAAATGCAATTCAGTTTTTTACTGATATCAGTTGACAAGTAAATCCGGTATCAGATATAGAATATAATTAGGCATAAATAACAGAGGTATCAATCAAGGCAAACTACTAGTTTTTGCCAGGACTCCCAACCTTGACATGCATTCTAACATACAAAGGAAGCAATCATTCAAAGAAGGCAGAACCAAGGATTGCTTAAGTGTCAAAATCAACAAAAATACAAACACATGCACCAGGCAAGTGGAATGTTTTCATTTCACAAAAGAAACCATAATCTTATAGTTCGAAAATTGTTGATTGCATGCAACTCATTACCTTAATGCAATCTGACATATAATAGAACTAAAAGCTAAAGGAGGTACGAGAAATAATAAAGACTTGAACACAGTATGCAGAAACAAGACAGATGGAAGAGTTAATACCAAAACTTCCATCCAGAGAGTTACAAAACTCAAATGCCTGCCTACCTGCAAAAGGAACATCAAAAAAAGCAGGAGAGAAAACAGATGCGGGAAATCGTTGATGAAAGCCCATCATCACACGCCCTAAATCCTAGTCCCCGATGCTCTTTTTCTCATCTGAACTCACTACATCATCAAATCACAAGGGAAGAACAGGCACATACACTGTAAAATCAGAAGTTGGAAATCTGGGAAATGAATCAATTTTGACTAAATTTGCACATAAAAACACAACCTGGAGAGCATCCATCAGCAGGCAGTGAAACAAGCAAACGTTATTGTTACAAGGATAGGGTTATACTAATTTTCAAGCTGAGAGTAGAAAAACAGCCTGATTCTGGTTGATTCGGGTGAGAGCAAACTCCAATCAGGACAAAAATTTCTCTGAGTGAATATGTGATTGCATGCGAAGGATTAAAAAGGGAAAAAACATGAAGGAGATAGTACTAAAAAAGAAGCAAATCACTGGAGAAAAAAAGAGAAAGGGAAGGGGTTTGTTGAGTGAGGACCATACTAGCTAGGTACTAAGTAGGCTATGTATATCGTAAATGGTCCCATGTTTATTCATAGTTTTGCCGCTAAATCCGCACAGTAATCAGGCGTACCTCAACAGTAAATAACATCAAAAGCCACGCTTTGGAGATATTAATTGTATATAAATAAATAGATTTAAAGGCATAAATTACTCATATTGAGAGCAAGCTCTGTAGGGAAATAAAGAAAAGACACACAAAAGATCATCAGTAGGCACACCCATATCCCTCTTCGAATAGAGTATCTTCACTGCCGTCGCATTCAAGCACTCCCAGCGTCAAGAATGAGAGAGAGAGAGGGGAAAGTAAGGACATAAGGGGAGAAACGAGAAGAGAGTGAGAATGGAACAAAACAGGCCGAGGAGTGACCAACAAAAGATGATCAAATTCCGGCACTGGAAGCTGACAGAAAGAGAAGTGAGCACGCAAAAGCAAAAGTATAGACTCATACAAGTGCCTCTGTGTGCTCACTCTCTTCTGTCAATTTCTATGTCCCAAGAATGAGAGAATACAAGAACAAAGAAGATGATGAAAGGAGAAAGAAGAAGAAGAAGAGTAAAGAATGAAAGGGTAAAGCGTATTCCCATATAAGGAAACAGACCAACCACACAAAAATTTACCAAAACGAAGAAACAACAGTTACACATAGACCCAAAAGAAAGAAAAAATAAAAGGAATGAGTCAGATCTGAGAACACAGTAACGCCCATTTACGGAAAAGGTACCAAAAGTAAGACCTTAAAATCCACGATCCATGCCGTTTTCAGTAAGGAATGGAGAACTTCAAAAACGATTTTAGGGTTTTTCTTCATACCAAACTAAAAACAAGACCAAACCCAGTATGAATCTTAAGGAAGAAATATCATAGAAATCCCCCCAAAACGAAAACGAAAACAAGAACAAGAAGAAACCCTTCTCTCTTTCTTCTCCCTTCATCATCATCCGCTAGTCTTATTCACTCCTCTTTCTCTTTCTCTTTCCATGTGTCTCTCTCTCTCTCTCATGCAGAACGTACAGGTGTCGGTAACACGTACCCAAGTGTCCTTCACTCTTCTTTTTTCTTTCACAGAACTACAAATCCAACAGTTTGGTTGAAGAGACACACAGCAAACACAAAACCCGAACTCAAAATCAAACATAAAATAAAAGTAAAATCTTAAATGACAAAGAGACAGAGAGAGAGAGAGACAGAGAAAGTTAGAACACTGAAGATAGAGGCGAACACTCAACGACCCTTCCCCCCACTGCATATATATAGACAGAATTACTTCAAAAGTACTGAAAAAGAGAGTCACTTCACTTCAATTTTCGCCTTATGCCCCTTATTTTTCTTTTAATACTAACAATAAAAATACTCCTATAATTGACATCGGTCTTTTTTTTTTCTCCTTTTCTTTTTATTTTTGGGGGAAGACAAAGAGTGCACAAAGCTTTCTCGAGAAAGCGAAGAGAGAGAGTGTGTGTGCGTGTGTGTTCAACACTCATTGGCCGGTTGGGATTGTTCGAGTTTACGTGTCGCTTTCAGGGGGCCCAGTGACCTCTGATTCATTTCTGGCCGTCGATGGAAACCATTCCTGACCGTCGAATCGGGGTGATGTGGGACCCGGACACCTTTGTCCGCTTGTGGTCTTTTGGCCTGGGGTCTTCTTGGGAATTGGGCTGATTGGACTGCGTCATTTGGGGAGACAAGTTTAGTGTATGGGGTTTATCAGTTAGTCCCTACTGCCAGTTTCGGCCTGATGTTAGTACAACCGCCAGTATCGACCAATCAGATTGATTGCCTTTCGAGGGTATAACTGTCTTATCGAACCATTGGTGACGTGACACTCTCTGATTTGCTCTCCCTTTCTTTGAGCGGCTCTAGGAAGTACACGATGCTTTCATCAATTAGGGTTTCCACGCCTGATTTATATGAATCAGGACACTCTTTCAAAGAAGATGAGATTTTAATCTCCATCGGATTATTATTTAATACATGGATAAATTTTTTAAAATTTAATAAAATTATAAAATAATATTTTAAATTTTATCACGAATCTGATTAAAAAACGTTATTGTTAATTTATCATTACATTTAAAAAAATAAAAAATCGTCATGTTCATAAATTTTTATTTAAATTAAAAGTATCACATGTTAATCAATTAATTAATTTCAACTGAAATTGATCTCATTGAATAAATATGGAGGTGTGATTTGATAGAATGTGATATAATTAATGACTTTTTTTTTGTTAATATCTAAAGATTAAAAATTTTTCATTCAAATATCAATTGATCTGGATGAATAAATTAGTAATGCAGGAAATAATCCAATTATGATCAATTAAGTGGACAAATTCTAAATAAAAAATTCATAATCTTAATTTCCTTTTTAAATATTTAAAAATTTTCACTTAAATTTTAATTTTCATACCAATCAAAACCTCTTAAGAAACTACTACATATCTTCGGATTTATTTTTCTAATTAAATAGAATGCATGAATAAGAGATTGTGATTGTGTCGAATTGATGGAAATGATGAATCAAAGTGATACTCAAATGATCGAGTTACCTAAAAATTAAGTTGATGATATTATTATGAATTATAACTAAATTTTGGATGATTTTAAGAACAAAATATTAAATATTGGAGATTTGAATCAAATAAAATATTCTAATTTCATTTTTTAAAATATAATTTATGAAATCAAATATTCACCAAAAAAAAAGAAAAAGAAGATTGAAACCTAAAGATATAATACTCAAATAAACTCCAAAACCATTCAAATCAATTTAAATAAATTTTTATTCTTTTATTATATTCAATCAAGTTCTTATATTTTCATTTTAGATAAAATAATCTCTTTTAATTAATGATTAACTAACTGTTATTGGTTAAGATGTTAATTGACATTTAATATCTACATACTATTAACATGACATTGATGTATCATATCAAATTAACATATCTCATTATTAATAATAATATGTTAGTATATCTCATCATTATTAATTATAATATGTCAAGCATCAAATGATATAAGATGATGTTTTGACTAAACTAATCTTATTTGACTCAAAATAAAAAATATAATAATTTATTTCATTTGAAATACAAATGAAAAAACTTAATTCAATACAATAAAAGTATAATAACCTATTTGAATTTTACTAAATATTTTAAGAACTTTTATGAGTATTATTGTCACAGATCACATTAATAAAAGATAAAATGAATTTGAAGAATATAAATATAGATATTTCACTACTTATTAAATATATTTTTTAAATTAAAAATATAAGTTCGTGATTATAAACTTAAGTTTTATATTCAAAATTGATCAAACGGGTTTAAACTTAAGTTTTGATCCCCGTCAATTATGTCAAACCTAAAAGAATGCCTCGACAAAATTCTAATTAAGGAAAAAAAAAAAAGCTTAAAAAGGCAGTTCACCTCTGGGTTGAACCTGTTATCGGGGTTCATGTATTTATTGAAATACGGCGTAGTGGGCGGGGACCGTTTGTACTCGAATCT